TCAAGCAGGTCCACTTTTCAGCCTGTCATGAGACCCTGACGGCAGAAGAGGCAGCAGACCTGTACATCCGCGATGTGTTCATGCATCATGGGGCCCCGGCCAAGGTCATATCAGACCGAGGTCCCCAGTTTGCTTCGAAATACCTGCATGCGGTGTACAAGGGACTAGGGATCGAGCCGGCACTGTTTACAGCATTCCACCCTCAGACGGACGGCCAGACTGAGCGCTGGAATTAGGAGATCGAGCAGTACCTGTGTGCTTTCACGAGCCACAGGCAGGATGATTGGGCAAAGCAGCTGCCGCTCGCGGAATTCGCACTGAACAACCGAGTTCACTCTGCGACCGAGCACTCCCCTTTCTTCCTGCATCAAGGGTACAATCCTGAGATCCAAGTGCGGATCAATCCGATGTCTGCGATGCCTGCGGCCGCTGATTGGCTCAAGATCCTAAAGGAGATTCGTGACGATACGTGCTCTGCGCTTGAGCTGTCGGCCGAGCGTATGAAGGTGTACTACGACAAGCACGTGCAGGAGGCACCGGTCTTTGCGCTGGGGGACAAGGTGAAACATTTGTCTTTCCGTTCGATTCCTTGTACTACTAGCGCCCATACTGGTGCCTGTCTTAGCACTCACCCGCAGGTTGAACATTATGTAGCTTACATAATGGGGTCCGTGCGCACTTCGTGCCTGGTATCATACCACTACGTTTCTTTCTTTGCTAACACGACCACATAGACACGATGGTCCATGCGTAGTCGGTACTTGTATAAGTAGTTGTACCATCAGTCGGTCGAACCCTAAGTTCGACCTGGTTATTCATTCAAGTCTCTGCTCCTCTTCGCTTGGGGTAGTGGTCATTCTCAACTTCCTTGCTCGATCTTCAGGACGACGCACTGTCCATAAGTCCTCGCTCGTCGTCTACGAGTCAGGCATTGATATAGGAGTATAGACCGTTGTATCAAAAGGTCGAACTTTCTAAGCTACGTTCCTAGTTTTATCTAGTCGAACATCTCATCCACCATCACGTCGAACAATGCAGTCAACCCGGTTCCCTTGGGACTACCAGCCCTCGCAGGATCTCCCCTTCTCCAGTACGACCGAGCAGACCGTTGCTTTGTCACCACCACAAGAAGGACTCCCATCTATCCTCAAGGCGGCTCCTGGGTTTGCGCAGAAGGCTCCAACCTGCAGATCGTCGCCCATCAACAGCTTGTCAGCTATTACCAGAGACACCCTCCCGCTCACCCAGAAGACGTATTCGCCACCCTACGAATCAACGTCGAACCAGCACAAACAACAGAGAACCTACAGTCACCTGTTAACGAACAACCGTTCGAGCTCCCGGACGTTCAGTACGTTCCCATCGAGGCCCCAAAACTACCACCAGCTCCACCTGCACCAACCAACGCACCGGTTGAAGTTCCTATGGCAACGTTCACTCAAGCAGACATCGATCAGTGCATCGCTGTCGCCCTTGCAGCATACCAATCCCAACAGTCAACTGTCAACCGACCCCTTCGCCTTGACATCCCCGCTCCCGAACCTTTCAGCGGAAAGGCAGAGGACCTCAGACGCTTCATCCAATGCGTCCTCTCCTACTTCGTCGCCACCAACAACACCAGACTTAGCGATGAAGCAAAGATCACCTTCACTGTAGTGTTGATGAGGAAGGACCTAGGGAAGACATGGGCAGACACATACTACGAGAAGTTGGCAGGGGGAGTCCAGGTCTATCCCGATTGGGCAGCCTTCGCCACCACCCTCGAGGAAGCGTTTCCCGAGCATGGAACGCGAATCAAGGCACACCAAATCCTGATGAAACTGCCCGAACGACAAAAGAACAAGAAGACGGCACTCTCCCTTGGAAACTACGTCACCCGCTTCAAGCAGCTAGCGTCAAAAGCCCAGCTCAAGGACGCCGAAGTCAATGGCATCAACCACACCGAGAACGACTACCACACTCTCCACGCCAACTTTGTCAAAGGACTTCCAAAGGAGCTCTATGTCTCTCTTGCAACCAGGGTCGCTAGGGACCAACCCAGCACCATGAAAGCCTGGTACGACGAAGTCCGAAACGCCGACGCCGCCAAACAAGGGGCCCTCACCATCACAGACACCAGGGACTATGACGAGCCAATGGATATCGACGCCGCTGCAGTCGCAGCGACCTTTGCCTCCACATCGGGAGGAAGGAAGTGGGAACTAGGAGCAGTTCTCAATGAGGCCGATATCAAAAGGCGACGCAGGGAGCAGTTGCACAGGACTAGCACTGAAGGACTGAATGCCACAAGTGGGGCTGAAGTCGAAGTGGGTCACAGAAGTGTGGATTAAAGGATGCTACAGCAGGTCTTTATATACATGAGCAGGGGAAAGCATTCCCACGGCAGAACAATAGAGAAAAGAACAATAGAGTCCAAAAGGAGAACAAGGGCCACTTGGCCACAGGAACAATGGAACAAAAGAAGTGTGGCCGGAGCTCTGGTCCGGTCCGATTGCTCCGCAATTGATACAACCATGTGGTCACATGGTGATGTGGCTCCCGCCACCGGGGGATCGTCCTAGGCCGACCAGGGGACTGTGGCAGAGCACATTGTGACAGCCGACCGGAAGCTCCACAGGGATGGGAACCTGTGCTTCTACTGCCACATCAAGGGCCACAGCGCCAAGGATTGCCGCAAGAAAGCGGCCGCATGACAAGGGGGTGGAAAGCCGAACCAGGGAGGATCTGGGAAGGACGGCTTCCGCGCCAGAATCAAGGCACTCTCCGCTGATGAGAAGCGGGAGCTGTATGAAGAACTTACGATGGAGGATTTTTGAAGAGGCAGGGTGAGCTGACGCAACCACTGCCCGTATCCGTTTCACTGTCCCATGTAATTCTAGTAGTCCGAAATGAACACGCTCTGCACATTCCAATTACTGTAGGACGAAAAGACGTCGAGGCGTGCACTTTCATCGATAGCGGTGCAACTGGAATCTTCATCAGCCCGAGATTCGTCCGAGAACATCGACTTCAGACAGAACCTCTTCCCCGACCCATCCCCGTCTTCAATGTGGATGGAACACCGAACAAAGAAGCACTCATCACGCAAAGAGCTCTCTTATCCTACAAAATAAGCGGAGAACCCCGATTTGTCAAAGCCTATGTCGCCAGCATCGGCAAGGAAGATATCATCTTCAGCCATACCTGGCTCAAGCTCGAAAACCCCAAGATAGACTGGAAAACTGGACGAGTGGAACTGAACCACCGGTGAACAAGAGACGAGACCAGGGCCTGGAAGTTGGACCTGTACCAAAGGCGAGTGGCCCGGCTAGAATTAAAGAAGGCCGTAACTATCCCACCCCCAGAACCAACGGAGGACGAATTTGTCGTCATCCCCACCTCAGAGCATGCAACCCTTCCCGAACGAAAGACTAGCAGCACAGCAGGATATGACATCTCTGCTGTGCATCAACTCATCATGTCACAATGTGCTCTGCCACAGTCCCCTGGTCGGCCTAGGACGATCCCCCGGTGGCGGGAGCCACCACACCATGTGACCACATGGTTGTATCAATTGCGGAGCAATCGGACCGGACCAGAGCTCCGGCCACACTTCTTTTGTTCCATTGTTCCTGTGGCCAAACCGCGTTGAAGATGCCATGCAGCAATGCAAGAATCTGCGCCCTGACAAGTACACCCTGGACGACCTTGACAGTGAACTCACTGTCATGGCTATGATCCTGGCCCTCCCTCGCGAGGATTTTGCCCTTCTGCGCACTCAGCTGCTCAATGGCGACCTCAAGAAGGCCACAGTCATCCAGGCCTTTGTCACTGAGGATGCCCAGCGCCGCCATGACTCCACCATTGCCTCCCAGTCTGCCCTTGCAGTTGCCTCGTCGTCCTCTGGCCCCTGCGACTTTTGTGGCGCATCTGGCCACTCCCAGCCACAGTGCTACTCGTTCCAGAAGGCCCAGAAGCAGGCCAAGGAGCGACGCGCCACCAGAGGCAAAGGGAAGGCTGCCACTGCACAGGAGAAGCCTGCAGAACCCACTCAGGAATCCGCTGCAAATGCAAGTGCCCTCTCCTCACACTCCCTTGAGCCCTCTTCGCCCTCTACACCGCTTCAGCTTGATGCTGACTTCACCTGGAATGCAGACACAGGCGCCACTTCTCATATGACGCCTCATCGCCACTGGCTGCGCAACTACAAGCCACTGCGCTTGCCTGTGAAGTTGGCAGACAACAAAGTTGTCTATTCTGCTGGTGTTGGGTCGGTCGTCTTCAGGCCTAGGGTGAAGGGAGCATTTGTGCGGTCTGTGGAGTTCTCAAGGGTGCTGCATGTGCCTGATCTGCGAAGCAATCTCCTGTCCTGTCTTCATCTTGCGCGCAATAAAGGGTTTACAATCACCATTTCGTCTGATGCCATGGCCTTCTACCAGTCTGGCACACTGCGCTTTGTCGCACCAATTGACCCCAACAATGCTGCCTACCTTGATGGCGAAGTTGAGCCCCTTGTTGAGGCCTCAGCACGCATTGCAGCCACTCTGCCACTCGACCTCAACCTCTGGCATCGTTGTCTTGCTCATAACAACTATGCAGACGTCCAGAAGCTTGTCAGAGACGAACTGGTCACTGGCCTAACCCTCAGCTCGAAGCAGCAGCCTGATCCTGTCTGTGAGCCATGCCTAGCAGGCAAAATGCGAGCACACCCCTTCTCTCCTTCGTCTCATGTGTCCACCATGCCTCTGGAGCTCGTCCACAGCGATGTCCATGGCCCTCTGCCTGTCCGCACTCACTCTGGCTATCGCTACTGGATCACCTTCATTGACGACTACTCCAGGTTCAGAGTTGTCATCCTGCTCAAGGCCAAAAGCGAAGCCTTTGCTGCGTTCAAGCGCTTCAAGGCCTATGCTGAGAACCAGCTGGGGGTGAAGATCAAGGCGCTCCAGGACGACAAGGGAGGGGAGTACATGTCCAGTGAGTTCATCGCATTCACAGACTCCTGCGGCATTGTGCGTCGCCACACTGTGCGCAACAGGCCACAGCAGAACGGGGTTGCTGAGCGCACCAATGGTGTTATGTCTGACACTGCCACTGCCATGCTTGCAGAGTCCTCCCTGCCTGCGTCCTTCTGGGGCGAAGCTATGGCTGCCATGGTCCATGTCTGGAATCGTCTGCCCACCGCTGTGCGCCCTGGCACCACACCCTATGAGCTCTGGCACAAGGGCAAGCCCAGTGTTGCGCATCTGCGCGTCTGGGGCTGCACTGCTTATGTGCACATCCAGAAGGACCAGCGCAAGGGTCTGTCGCCTCACATGCAGAAATGCGTGTTCATAGGCTACCCAGACGGCTACAAGGGCTGGAAGTTCTACTGCCCTGACACCAGGAAGGTGGTGATCTCAGAACGTGCCGAGTTTGATGAGCGGTTCTTCCCTGGTCTGAGGCGCACTCCTGCCTCGCTTTCCACTCCCATTGTCGACCCTCCGACCTCTGAGCCTGTCCCTCTCTTTGTACCTGCACTGGATCAAGGGGGGGACGACGACTCTGTGCCTGCCGCCATTCCTGAGGCCCCTATTGCGCCAATTCCTGCAGCGGCACCTCTTCCAGTTGCTCCAGTACCTGTCCAAGCTCCTGCACCTCCAGCACCCATTGTGCCTCCTGCGCCACAAGCTGCGCACCAACCCCCTCCTGAAGCGGACGACCTCAATCTGCCCATTGCCATTCGCAGGGGAAGATGTCATGCACCAGCCCCTGCAAAGCGCGAAGACTCTCCTGATCCCCTCGACCTGTTTGCTGAAGAAGCAGATTTCGTCGAAGTGCAGTTTGCTGGGCTTGCAGCTGGTGCTGACCCTCACAATTTTCGTGAGGCCATGCGCTCTCCTGATGCCAAACTGTGGCAGACAGCCTGCAACGACGAGATACTCTCTCTGATTGCGAACCACACCTGGGATGCAGTCCCTCTGCCTGCTGGAAAGAAGGCCATTGGATGCGGCTGGGTGTTCAAGGTGAAGCACAATGCGGACGGCTCCATTGAGCGGTACAAGGCTCGACTTGTGGCCAAGGGCTACTCACAGCGGCCTGGCTTTGACTACACTGAGGTTTTTGCACCCACCTCTCGCCCTGCTGCCCTGCGCCTTGTCCTTGCCCTCACTGCCATTGAGGATCTGGAGCTGCACTCAGTCGACATCTCCTCCGCATTTTTGCAGGGCGACTTGGATGAGGAGATCTACATGCAGCAACCTGAAGGCTTTGCCCAAGGTCCCCCTGGCACAGTCCTGCGTCTAGGCCGTCCTCTCTATGGCCTCAAGCAGGCTGGCCGCATGTGGAACAAGAAGCTGCACCAGGTGCTCACCTCCATGGGCTTCAAGCGGCTCGAGTCTGACCGCAGTGTGTACATCTATCTGCGAGATGAAGTGCGCATTATCATCCCTGTGCATGTGGACGACCTCACTTTGGCCTCCACCTCGCGCGCTGCCATTGACAAGACAGTCGAGGAGCTGTCTCAGCACTTCAAACTGCGCAACCTTGGCCCCACCACATTCCTGCTGGGCATTGAGATCACCAGAGACCGCAAAAAGCGCACCATGTTCCTGTCACAGCGGCAGTACATCCTGGACATGCTGGAGCGCTATGGCCTCACCAGCTGCAAAGCGGTGTTGACTCCAATGGAGCCTGGCCTGCGCCTTTCCAAGCAGCAAGCCTGTCAGAGTGATGAGGACCGCGCCTTCATGCAGGACAAGCCCTACCTCAATGCGGTCGGCTCCCTCATGTATCTGGCCATTACCACTCGCCCTGACATCCAGTATGCTGTCTCCTGTCTTGCACGCTTCAACTCCTGTCCTGGACCTGCCCATTGGGCCGCAGTCAAGCACCTCTTTTGCTATCTGCAGGGCACCAAGGACCACAAGCTCGTCTACAGGCCTGACGACCTGGGTGCACCCTTTGTCACCTTCACAGACTCTGCTCATGGTGACTGTCCGGACTCTGGACGCTCCACCAGTGGCTACTTGGTCAAGGTTGGCTCAGGAGCGATCAGCTGGTCTAGCAAGCTCCAGTCCATTGTTGCACTTTCGACTACAGAGGCTGAGTATATTGCTGCAGTGGATGCTGGCAAGGAAATACTCTGGATGCGCACAATGTGCTCTGCCACAGTCCCCTGGTCGGCCTAGGACGATCCCCCGGTGGCGGGAGCCACAACACCATGTGACCACGTGGTTGTATCAATTGCGGAGCAATCGGACCAGAGCAGAGCTCCGGCCACACTTCTTTTGTTCCATTGTTCCTGTGGCCAAGTGGCCCTTGTTCTCCTTTTGGACTCTATTGTTCTTTTCTCTATTGTTCTGCCGTGGGAATGCTTTCCCCTGCTCATGTATATAAAGGGCTGCTGTAGCGACCTGTAATATCACTTCTGTGACCCACTTCGACTTCAGCCCCACTTGTGGCATTCAGTCCCTCGGTGCTAGTCCTGTGCAACTGCTCCCTGCGTCGCCTCTTGATAAGCAGTCCCTGACGTACGTAACTCCCCCG